AAGTCGAAATATAAGAGTAATTCTTGCTTTTATGAGTAAATATTGCATTAAAACTTTTTGGGAGATAAAGATTTTTCTAGATATAAATCCTACGTTAATTTAAGCGCACCACTAGATTGGCAATTAGGTCCCATCCTTTTAATGTTGAAATGCCAAGATCTAACCGTAAGTTCTATTCTAATATTTTATTTTCTCGCACTTCCCAACTGTGAAACTCTCCTCCGGTTTCTTCCTCCTCTGCAACCTACCATCTTCAAAAAATTAAAAGCAATGTCCAGCGCTATAGTTTGTCTTCCTGAACTCTGTTCTTTTATTGTCCTTTCTTCATGCAACATCTTCACATACTCTCTCTATATTTCTGAGATGAGGTATTGTAATTATTTACATTGTTCGGACTCTTGTTCTCATCTTTATTGTCATATTCAAGACGTTTCGGCCGTTGTACACTTCTTCAGCGTCTGTCTATATTTCTGAGATGAAGTATTGTAACTATTTACACTGTTTACATTGTTCGAACTCTTGTTCTCATCTTTATTGTCATATTTCCGATGTTTTGGCCGTTGTAATCTCCGGTCTTCTTCAGGACCTGTCTATATTTCTGAGATGAGGTATTGAAATTATTTATATTATTTACATTGTTCGGACTGTTGTCCTCATCTTTATTGTCATATTCACGATGTTCCGGCCTTCATCAGACTGTTCTAGTTCCACGTCCTCACGGACTTATGGCCCAGTGAATAAAAGCGTTAGTTGGATCCAAAGTGTTGAGTTTAATACCTGGCTACTGCAGTCATGACTAAAAACTTGGAGAGTTGAGTTAAAGGGAGATGACGGAGATATCCAGAAGAGACATGGCATGTGGAACTAGATCAATCAATCAACATGGACGAAATAAAGGTTCAGTTCAAAATTCCAGTCACATGAAGAAGGCCGGGGCGTGTAACAGCCGAAACGTCGTGAATATGACAACATTCCAAACAATGTAAATAATGTAAATAATTACAATACCTCATCTCAGAAATATACACAGAGAAATCCAACTATTTAACTCATAGCTGGGGGAAGAGATGGGTTCATGTCTTTCCCAATGTTATTTGCAACGAACTCGACTGGAATTCGAACTTTGTTCTCCGATTCCTCATTCCGATCTGTTGCACCACCTGCACATCTTTGTGTAAATAGATGGCAGAAAATGAAATAGATTGAGGAATAATATGAAGTGAAATATTTCTTAAAGCTACGAATGATAGGAAGCTGTAGAGATCCATAAGCGTCACCCCCTTACGTAATACGGCACATAAGAAGAATATTTTCACAATTAGAACCAGACAGATGAAATTGGGGGGGGGGCATAATGAGGAAAAGGCCTAGAGAATTTAACACACACAGGATTTATTGGAGACAAGAGAAACAGATTAACATTGAATGTGTGTGAATGGATAACAAAACAGCCACAAAGAGGGATGATAGAAGGGTCAAGGGTTAGTCCGATCAACAAGGCTGGAAGATGTGGAGAGCTATGACCCATAAAAGAAGAACAGTGGAGATTTTCTCTGGTGAATTAATTAATGCAAGAAGAAGAAGAAGAAGAAGAAAGAGGAGGAGGAGGAGGAGGAGGAGAAGAAGAAGAAGAAGAAGAAGAAGAAGAAGAAGAAGAAGAAGAAGAAGAAGAAGAAGGAGGAGGAGGAGAAAAAGAAGAAGGAGGAGGAGAAAAAGAAGAAGAAGAAGAAGAAGAAGAAGAAAAAGAAGAAGAAGCTTAACAATAATAGGTGGACAGAACTATAAAAACAACAACAACAACAAAAAACCAAAACAAAAAACGAGGTAAACACTTGAATAGCCGGATATATTAGACTCCTGATTGTCGACTGCTGGCGGATAAGAACAAACAGCGTTGGTGGTGGTCTGAGGATGAATCTTAACTGGGCAGAAGTAAAAAAGGCGGGAGCGTTTCAGCGGCGAAAAACACGTGACCGTAAACGGCGCGAAACAAGTCCCAGTCGCGTTGAACTAAAAACACGATGGGATGGGGTTCTAAGGAGGGCCAGAGTGGTGGTGAAAAGCTACACAGGAGAATGAACGAGTAGGAGTGAGACAAAGGTAAGGAGAAACTGTTCAGAGGAATTTTATCGAGAGAAGAGAAAGGAAAAAAAATGGACGAAAAAAACGAAACAAAAGCTGGTGGAGTTCTCGGAAGACAAGGGAGAGAGGAGGAGGTGTAAAGTTTAAATAGAGGAAGAAAAGAGAAAGTTTAGTGTTTACGAGAAACTTCTACCACGTGTAGCTGGCATGATAGTGAACAAGAGTTCAATAACACGTGTATAGAAAGGTAAAGGAAAAGTGTAGAAAAATAGATATACAATATGGTATGTCAATACTCTACGTATTTAGATAGATAGATAGATAGATAGATAGATAGATAGATAGATAGATAGATATTTAGAGAGATAGATATAAACATATTTACATAGATAGATAGATAGATAGATAGATAGATAGATAGATAGATATAAACATATTTACATAGATAGATAGATAGATAGATAGATAGATAGATAGATAGATATGAACAGACTGAGATAGATAGATAGATAGATAGATAGATAGATAGATAGATAGATAGATAGATAGATAGATAGATATAAAAAGATTGACATAGATATAAACAGATTGACATAGATAGATAGATAGATAGATAGATAGATAGATAGATAGAAACAGATTGACATAGATAGATAGATAGATAGATAGATAGATAGATAGATAGATAGATAGATAGAAACAGATTGACATAGATAGATAGATAGATAGATAGATAGATAGATAGATAGAAAGAAACAGATTGACATAGATAGATAGATAGATAGATAGATAGATAGATAGATAGATAGATAGCGAGTTCTGATTAAGAGCAAAGGACGCAATAATTAATTTGTAAAATTTTCTGGTCAATTTTGCAAGCAAAATGTAGCCTTGGCTTGGAAATCAGCATTCAAAGTCCTTCTGTTTAGAACACTTTTAAATAAATATGCAATTATTTCAACCATCAATGAAAGATATAAAGGCATACAAATTTACACGGACAAATGCTTTTGAATTGATTTTTTATCCGACATTTTTAGTTATTATTAACAAACGTTATTTTGATGTTTTATTAGGGAGAGCAGCTTTGGGGGTGTAATGGATATCGGCCTGAGATGAGAACTCGATTTCCTTAGATTCACATACGCAGAAATACCCTTGGGAAAAATATGAGTCCATCTATTTCTCTTTTTAGCCTTGGTTGGTAACCAGTCTACAGCGGAAAGAAATGGCAACCTACTGCGGGAAAAATCTGACTCGTCAATTATGAATCGAAAGATACATGAGCGGCCAAAGTGTGTATCACGTATGGCATATAACTGACTGATTGAATTCAAATACATGTACCGAACGAAAATAATGTTTATATTGTAATAATAATAATAATAATAATAATAATAATAATAATAATAATAATATATATATATATATATATATATATATACGCATACACACATATATATGGTCCGACGAAAATTATATATATATATATATATATATATATATATATATATATATATATATTTTTGTTTGAATAAAAACAGACCACTTTTAAGGATCATCAGACTTTACTTCTAAAAGTTGAAATGAAAAAAAAAATCCGAAAAAAAAAAAAAAATATATATATATATATATATATATATATATATAATTAGGCGTTGAAGTTAATACCAAGCAGCGAGAATCCTGGTTGGAAGATTCTGTTCAAGTAGGAAACACAATGTCGCCTCTCGATGTTGAGCTCTGTGTCCACTTTTATATTTACATACATACATACATACGTTCTCTCCCTAATATATATATATATATATATATATATATTTACATAGGAAATATATATATATATATATATATATATATATGATTTCCTATGTAAATAAGTGTTTCAAGACCAGTACATACGTATACAAGTAAACACTTGAGAGGCACTCATCGTCGTCCACAGGAAATGAGAAAATAAAATAAAATCTTTTGCAATTTTGCAAAAACCTTAAAATATCTCCATCTGTCGTCGCTAGAATTCTTTAAAAACCATTTACGTTGTTGTTGTTTTGTTTTTTTTATTAAATTTGTTTTTGCTATTTATGTATATTTTCACCGCAGTTATTTGATGGTCATCACTAATGATTGAATGACAGCTAGTCCACACAAGTTTCCAGTACCCTCCTCAGTATTCACGCCTATCACACCAGTGGTCTATGTACATCTCTGACTTACTTTAGATTTCCAACTGGTTTAATATCGATTCCAATGTTTTTTTAGCACAAGTTAAACTGCACATTCTGTTATGGGTACGACTCTAGCCTTATTCTATATTTTACTCTGCTACCGGGTTATGTCCTGGTACCTGTTCAGTTTCTCTCACATTATTATTATTTTTGTTGCTTTTGTTGTTCAATGAAGCCTGCCCTCATCTCAGCCGTGATTAATAAAATTATGAATTTGATAAAAATTGTATCTTCACTTTGTGTCTCCATTTTAAACTTTTACCAACGCTTCTTACCCTTTTTAATTTTAAAAAGAAAAAAGTTTTACTAATCTAAAATTAAAGTAAAAGTTATTTAATGTGACCATTGAAATATCTTTTAATGTTATAATTTTAAGAATTGTGTTTACTTTTTCTAATATTTTTTTTTCTTTTCTTTTCTTTTCTTTTTTGTCCTCAACCTGGTTACGTTTGGGATCGATACCTATCGCTAATCCTCCAACTTCTTCATCAACCCATTCGATTCAAAACAACGAATTTCAAAAACGGAATTAATTTCCATATTAATCTATCATCATTTTTATAATGAATTCTAATAATTTTACAACTTCAAATAAATACCTAAATCTGATCAATCTTGGCTAAAATAAATTAAAAATCTTGGTAAATTCTTGGTGTCGTCTCCAGGGTACATTTGTGCTTCAACAACGGCATGAGAAAAATGTCGGTTGCTTCAGTCAGCCTCTCTTCGTACGATGCGAAAACCACCGAAAATTACCGAGGAATGGGAGCAATGGGAGGAGTAGGCCGAGCAACGGGAGTAGGAAGCAGTGGTGAAGAAGAAGAAGAAGAACAAGACGAGGATGAAGAAGATGAAGAAAGAGGCGTAGGCGAGACAGCACTAGTTGCGGTCTCAACGTCTATAGCAGGAACGTTGGATGACAGCACTTTGAGCTCGAAACCAAGCTGGAATAGTCACCCACAACAGCAGCAGCAGCAGGAGCAGTATCTACGGCAGCACAAAAGACATCACGGCTGGAGACGACAAAGCAGACGGGAGTACACCAAAAGGAATGAGGCATGCGGTATGTGTGGATGCAAACCGAGATGGATGCAAATATTCAACAACCCGCGAGCCTTGCTATTCTTTCTCTGTTCGGGATCTTTTATTCAAGGTAAGTACTGTTTCTTTTCACGACTTTTATTCACTGTTGTCATTAGTAAGTAACTAGTGTTACTTTTGATGACGACTCTAGAGATGATGTTGTTGTTTTTACTGTTGAAAGTCATTTATTTTCACCCCTAAGTCTTGGAGATTTGTGCTCAGGTCTGTGTTTTTTAAGCCTCATCTTCATTTTACTTTTATTTTCTTTTAACTTTCTTTAGAATTTACTTCTCTCGTATCATTGATTCTCTACTTTACTTGATTTCTTTTCAACTTCGCTGATATCAGCTTCTACGGCAAGATTGTTAATAATCTGGCAGGTCTTTTCGTCCGATTTGAAAAATCTTTCTTTCTTTCTATCCATCAAATCCGTGGTTTTCCTCCTGAATAATTGAAAGCGTATCATTACGGCTAGTTTCTTGTAAATAACAAATTTGCTAAGACGCTGGTATTGTTAAGGTTGGTGAAGATGACAGAACTACTAACAATTGCATGTTTAAAACTGATTCCAAAACATGTAAGTTTATTTTTAGCACACACAAACACACACACAAAAAAGGAAAATTACTAAAAAAAAAAAATTAAATGGTACCCACTAACTGAACTTTATACGAAGAATGCTTATTGGTGTGTACTACTTACGGTAAAAAAAATACAAAGAACCTTGTTTAAGGTCATTTGGTTCCTATCAGTTTAAAAATAAAACTGTTTATTTAGATGACTTCTGCTACTATAAGTCAACAGCTATTACAAATGATTTAGTATCAATTATCACTGACCCACAGAAATAATTCCTGATAGTAGCAATAATTTTTTAATTTTATTTTGTAATTCGAGAATGACATATCCTTACACACGATCTCTAGTTGATCATATTCCTCCACAATTTTTTTTTTTTTAATTTTTTGCGTATTTCTCGGGAAACATGGTGGAGTGGTTCCTCGTTATCTTAACGGGTTTATATTCAGAGTAGATTTTTAGACTGGCTGCTATTTAACCCATAATTGGGGACTTAATACTAGCAAAATATACTTTATTGCGAGATAAACAAGAGGAAAGTGTGAAGACTTGCTGTCACTTGATTCCTAATAACTCCGCCAGGTACAATTGGTGTGTACTTTCGAAAATTAATAATAATAATAACTGCTCAAGATTTGCAAGCTTTTTTTTACAGAAACGTTCCACTCCGAGAAATAAACATGTTAACAACTTTTTTTTTTATATCTGTTAAAGTAAGAAGCCGGATCCCGAATATCAGTTTTTATTATATATATATATATATGTGTGTGTGTGTGTGTGTGTGTGTGTGTGTGTGTGTGTGTGTGTGTGTGTGTGTGTGTGTGTGTTAGCAATATTAAAGACGACTGAGAGGGGGACTGGGATTAAGGTTTTATTCAATCTTTCTTCGCACAAGTAATTTCTTTTCAGGGCATAAAGTGTGTAAACAAAAAAAAAATGAATAAAAAGCATCATCGCAGTAACACTTGTTGGTTTTGTTTAACGAAATTTGTATAAAAGAAGGATTAATTAACACACACACATATATATATATATATATATATATATATATATATATATATATATATATATATCCTTTTATACAAGTTAAATTAAAGTTAAAGACGACTAAGTATCGCGATTAAGTTTTTTATCCAATTTATATATATATATATGTGTATGTATATATATATGTATGCGTGTATGTGTGTGTATGTGTATATATCTGTGTGTATGTGTATATATCTGTGTGTGTATGTGTATATATATATATGTGCGTGTATGTGTGTGTATATATATATGTGTGTGTATATATATATGTGTGTGTGTATATATATATGTGTGTGTGAGTATATGTGTGTATATGTGTGTGAGTATATATAAATATGTGTGTATATGTGTATATATATATATGTGTGTGTGAGTATATATAAGTATATGAGTGTGTATGTGTGTATATATATGTGTACACACACACACATATATATATATATATATATATATATATATATATATGGCCTGGCATCAATCTCCACTTTTACATGTACATATGCTCTATCCCTGATATTGAGCACTTTTAACCATTACTTTCGGCCTTAGAAAATCACTATATATATATATATATATATATATATATATATGTGTGTGTGTGTGTGTGTGTGTGTGTGTACGTATGTATAGTATATATAATAGTTAGATACAGGTATATAATAATATTTATCATTTTCTAAATTTGAAATGGTGTACAAGTGTCTGAAGAAATATTGACAATTATGTGAGATTAAGATTGTAAACAACTTTATATTTCAGTTGTTCGGTTCTTTTTGCAATGGATCAGAGATATCAAATTTACCATGAATTTTTATGGTAAATTGATATCCCTACGCAAGCCAAAAATTACGAAATTGAAGCATTTTCTTTCTTACCTAACAAAAAAAAATAGCATAATGTAATAATGTTAATCGGAAAAAAAACGGCTATATATATTTAAATCATATCCTCTCAGGGGCGTAGCAGAGTCAAATGTTTTGGGGAAGGTCAAAAGAAATTAGAATTTAGCCTTAAGTTTAGCGGCAAGGACATTCAAAAATTTCCAGTACCTCTTGATTGACAGAAATCATCTTTGAAACAAGAGAACCGTCTTTATTTGAAATGAAAGAACATTTAATCTTTTTTTGAATGTACACATTTCGTCCACCTTTTAAAGAAGACTTCTTTCATTGGAATTTATGAAAGTTATATTCTTCCTTGCTTTGATAGTTTTTTTTCTTTCTTGTATTTTTTTTACTGTATTTTGTTAAAATAAAAAAAAAAACCTGTAAAAATACAAGTGGTAAACATTTTTTGTGTGAGCCAAGCAGGCTGTTACACTGGTTTGTAAAGATTTCTTCTGCTATTGCGAAAATAGCCAAACTACTGGAATATAAAGTTGTTTACAATCTTAATCTCATAAAATTGACAACATTTCTCTAGAGGCTTGTACACCATTTCATTCGCTACTTGTTACTCCACGACTAGCGTAACTGAGATTGCTTTTACAACCTGCTGTTATGATACGGAAAACTACAAAAAAACTAGCATGAGCTATTTGGGGTTTTTTTTTCCTTTTCTTCCTTGCAATTGAAGTTTCCTTACAATTAAGTTGTTTTTATGATGGACTGTCGTCATTGTTTTCGTAGCAACTCACCATACGTCATCAACAGGAATTTTTACGAGCAGACTAGATTTTGCTAAAGCTGGCTTCACTTACCACAGTGTTGATTTTTTATTTGCTTCATGCTATGCAATATGTAAAAGTTTTTTTCGAGTCTTTATTTTCCAACTTTTCTTGCTTATAATTTCTGTATCTTGCTTATAATTTCTGTCTCAATCGTTGCCTTATGATTTTAAACGCGAACAAAGTCCTTTACTCTCACGGTACAACTGAAACTGATCATTTTTAGCAAATTCTTCACGTTTTCACGCTTAAAATATATCTCTAAAACCGCCTGCATACGGATAGAAAATAAATTCAATAAACATGCAAAAATAGAAAGGCGTGTAAGACAAGGATAGGTCTTCTCGCCAGACTTATTCAACCTATACGGTGAGGCGATTCAGAGAGAATTAGAAGTCCTACCGCTATTTACTAATGGCGGTCGCAAGTTTAACAACATAAGATAAGCAGATGACACAATGTTGATAGCAGACACGTAAAGAACAAACACTCCTACAGAATCTATTAAAGGAAAGCGAAAAGAAAGGACTATCCATCAACTGCAAGAAGATAGAATGTTAGCAAAAGGGACGACCCAATGTGTAAATTACAAATTGGAGATGTCAAAATCGAATAAGTACAACAATTTAAATATCTGGGAAGTGTTAACGGAAGACGGAAAATGCGACACTGAAAAATAAAGGTGTATTAGGACAGCAAAAGGTACTTTTCAAAAGCTAAGCAAAGTATTAAGAAACAGAAAATAAGAATAAAAACAACACTAAACTGTTATTTACACGACAGGGCAGGACGTTGCATATTAAGAGACACCACGATGTCTAAATGGAGTCTAGTCTGTGCCCTGTGCAAGACAGAGAAAAACTCAGGAGTGTATTTCGTCCTGCAAGCAAGAGAATTTAATAAATGCTCGTCGATAGCGGAGTTATGAATCTTTGAACACCTGGATGTCACCGGCTCGTGTCTACGCACCTGGCCCGGGACATGCCGGGCGTTCCTAACCTCTAACCTCTGGATGGTCTTGCTCACATAGTCGATCCCACATCGACACTGTATGACGATAGACTACATCCGCGTCCAGGGTAAGACGATAAACTACGCCCAACAGCAAGGCCTCTAATCAGGAGACTTTGAGGAGCGTGGAACCACCTCTTAATTGCTGCTGTTCCCAGGTCCACCCTGACCCGGGGTAGTAGTACCTGTTAGGGCCCCAGGTATGGGCAAATAGTTAACCCCGAAACAGGTAAAAATCATTTTGAAAGTGTAAAAATAGGTTTTAATACTAGAAATACTTTGTAAAAAGTAATTAACAGAAATAAATTTTTGAAGAAAAAACTATTACCAGCAATACGTTTTTGAAAAAAATAATATTACCAACTATACAATTTTGAGGAAAAAATATTACCAGAAATAGATTTTTGACAAAACAAAAATATTACCAGAAAAAAAAAAGTTGTCGGCATTAAATGACCCATTGAGGTTGATATGCCGTAAAACAAATCAAAACAAACCACATTGACATTTATATTGATATATAACTAAACTTTCTCTTCCAATATGGCAGTGAATGCTGAACAATCTCTTCACGGATGGAGAAGAGACTTATAGAAACATGTGGTTGTTATTGTCATAACGTTTCGACATTCCAACAGGCTTCTTCAGGTGTCTTTTATCGTTGGTAACCTTTTTAGGATTTCGAACCGAACTCTTTATTCAAACTATAGGGTTATATTATCATTTCACTATCAATGTCAGAAGACATTTCGTATCAATGTAAGTTATCGAGTTAATTCGTTCTTGTTAAATTGCTTTCAATCTACCACTGAATATGAATATTTTTTTTTTTGC